CAGGGACAAACTCCAGCGCTCACAGGAAGCCTTGGTGAATGTTTAGTGTGCGGAGAGGAGCTCCCGAACCTGTCACGTATGAACGTTCGCTGCGAGGGCTCCGCTCAAGCTCCAGCGATGCTGGAAGGCTCAAGGGCTGCTGCTTTAAGAGTTGACTTAATTATAGCTGCGGTGTTTTCAGCGCGGACCCAGGAGCTGCTTTCCAGACGTCCCTCCCGCGCTCCGGCTTTTCGCTGCGCTTCGGCGCGTCCGGGCTGAGAGGAAAACGCGCAAATGCCTTAAATAAACAGCTCGTTAAGGGGCCGGCGGGGCGAGCAGCGCTCGGGTGCACCGAACCGGCTGCTGGCCCCGCCCGCGCCTTTCTGTCCCGAATCCACCGGGATGCGTCCGTGGCTTCAGGCGTTTGCCGAGCGAGGGACTTACCTGGAGAAAGGGAATTTCCCCAGTTACAGCGCTGGAGCTTCCATGCACTTTCTTGGGACTTTCGGACAATCACACGTTGTAAGCGGGGACTGATTGGTGGATTTCATGTTGGTTTTGTTTGGTTTTATTTAACAACAAAAAACACCCCCCAAAACACCAACCAACCAAAAAAAAACAACAACAAAACCCAAAAGAACCCACAAAAAAACAAAACCAAACAAAAACCCAGAAGCTTCCCCACTGTGCAGAGCAGTGCCAGTCTCCTGTAGCCTTTCAGAGGCGGTGGGAGTTGCTGTCTCCTTTTGGCTGGGTGATGTCATGCCCTGGTTTCCTGGATACCCAAAGTCTGCGGGATGGAATCTGAACTCATTTGGTCTGTTTGTTTCCTCAGATGGCTGGAAAGGGAATGAACCTGTATTTTCCTCCGTGGTGGCCATGCTCCACTGTCCCTGTGCTCCCATGTGAGGCTTGAATTAAGACAGCTGTGTGGTATCTTCTCATTCCTACCCCATCCCAGGGGAAAGTCTAATGGCAGAAGCTGTGCTAGCAAACCTGGAGTTGTGCTTCCTCTCCTCCTTTTCACATCCCCTTTAGCTGTGCTTGCCCCTCCACTGGCCTGTTGCTGGCAGCCTGGCTGGGATTCTCTTCAAAGCCAAGACACATTTAGGTGTCTACAAGTAGGTGCCTTTGTGTGCTCCAATTTGTGTAGGTTTTCATTGTGGCCAATGGAAATCTTGTCAGGACAGCCACTAGCCCTTAGAGAGTGATCCTGCCACCCTAAAGTAGACATGGCAGCTGGGATTCGTCAGCTAAACAAAGGTGTTGGTGCTCTTTGGTGGTCTCCACATCTCCCTCCAGAAAGTGAGGCCTTCTGTCATGTCTTCCCATCTCATGTGGCTGCCTTGGGTGTCTGGATGTCTCTTTTTGGGCAACAGTCTCATGCCATGGCTGTTCCACTGGTTGCTCCTCGAGATGCATTCCCTGTACTGACTAGATCTCTACTGACTTAATAGAATCATAGAATGATTTTGGTTGGAAAAAACCTTCAAGATCATCAAGTCCAGCTGTTAGCCTAGCACTGCCAAGTCCACCACAAAGCTAAGTCCCTAAGTGCCACATGTGTTTTAAAGACCTCTGGGGGTGGTGACTACTTCCCTAGGCAGCTTGTTCCAGTGCCTGACAACCCTTTTGATGAAGGGATTTTTCCTAATGTCCAGTGTAAGCCTCCCCTGACACAATTTGAGGCCATTTTCTCTTGTTCTTGTAACTTGGGAGAAAAAACCAATACCCACCTGGCTACAACCTGTTTTTGGGTAGTTGTAGAGAGTGATAAGGTTTCCTCCTTTTATCCAGACTAAACAACCCCAGTTCCCTCAGCTGCTTCTGGTAAGACTTGTGCTCTAGAGCCTTCACCAACTTTGTTGCCCTTCTTTGGACACTCTCCAGCACCTCAATGTCTTTCTTGTAGTGACGGGCCCAAAACTGAACAGAGCGTTCAAGGTGCAGCCTCACCAGTGCTGAGAGGAACAATCACTGCCCTATTCCTGCTCAGGGTGCTGTTGGCCTTCTTGGCCAACTGGGCCCACTGCTGGCTCATACTCTGCTGGCTGTTGATCAACACCCCCATGAGTTTTAACAGCTCCTCACGTGTAGAAAGTAAACACTAGGCCTGAGTGCAGTCACACCCACTTCATCCTGATCCAGTTGCCCTGCTCTGAACCTGCTAGACAAATAGCAAAGCCAGTGTTACCAAGTGGCCCAAATCTGCTAGGAAGTCAGCTGTGTCAGAAACAAAGACAACTCTGGCCAGCTGCTCTGGTTCTGGATGGTCAAACTTGCATGCCTATGTGCACCAAACACCATTTATCTCATTGGCATCTGTCTGGCCCTGTCTTTTTTCCTCATCAGTCACTGTCCCCAGCCACACCATTTCTAAACAGATGCTGGGTCTGCCCACTGCAGCTCTGTGCAAACACAGACACACAGCAAAACCCCAAAGGAAGCAGAATGTACTTACTTACCTACAAAATATTGTCTTTGGCTTGCACAGCACAGCCCTACCCCACTCAACAGTCATGCTTTAGTCTGGTCCAGGAGAGTGTATCAGAACCAGCCTAGGGTGTCCTGAAAAGACACTGCACCTTATGTATCAGGGATGGACAGTGGAGTGCTCGTGGGGAGGCCACACTGCCTCTTGTGCCTGATGGCCTTGGCTCTTCATGATGTCTCCCTTGCCAAGCTTCTCATTCTTATTCTGCAAAGATCTTGTCTCATGCAACATTCATTTAGGTGGTTATCAGACATTTTAATAGGCATCCTTTTGCTGTGGGAAGAGCTCTTTGATGATGCTGCCTTTATCCTGGGTAGTAGCTTCCTAGATATTGATTAAGGCAAGAAGAGGGAGACCAGCCTTGTGCTGGTCTACTGGCCTACTCCAGAACATGCTGGGATGTCCAGAGCAGGGGTATCTGAGCCAAGGGATGTGCTACTAAACCAGGATGTTCACTAGATATACCATCCACCTTACCCTATTGCTGCCTCTCCAGCTTACCACTGATATTTTAAGGCAAAGTGTAACATCATGAAAATGCACTGTAGTACGCCTGAAGCTGCTAGAACTGAAGCTAGAGAAGACAAACAAGCACAAGAAAGTGTGTGTCTGCCAAGTATATGAGAGAGAGGGCTAGAGGGGAAAAATGTGCTTCATGTGCAACTGTTAGCTGACTCCTCCCTTTCTCCCCTCCAGCTCCACTGAAAGGAGTAATTAATCCAAGGTGTCATTGGCACATCCTGTGAATAGTGGAGATAGGTCTTTGTATTCAGCACTGGTATATGTCTCAGGAAAGCTCTTCCAGAGCTTCTTTAATAATTTTCAAAGCTCTTACACAAGACTGGTTCTGACATGGGCTCAAGTGTTGCTAACCTTGGTTGGGCAAGAGTGAGGTCCACAGCCAGTGAGCAGTACCTTGAGAAAGCATGGATAATACCTCTCCTTCATTGTGGTTTCCCTCTAGGAAGTGGGTTGCTCTGTATTGTTCCTCTAGGCCACTCAGCAGAGCTGTATGGGCAACGAGCTCTTGGTCTTACTCCAGAAGCTACCATGAAACAAAGGATAATGAATTTGTCTTGACTTTTTGGGTTAAACGTTACTTAGAAGTAATTTCTGGACCTTCTGCAGAGGATTTCCAGTAAAAGGCTTTTTTTGTCATGGTATTTCATGGCCCAGCAGCTCACATCAGGTATTGCAACATACTTGGTTTCACAATACTCTAGAAGGGACCAAGAACGGGGCACTCACTTGCACTGGATGTCTTCAGGAGGAACTCATGACACTGAGGTCAAGGGACTCCTCTCTTCAGGAGCTGGCTCTGAGATGACTAAGAGCTGCCACAGACTGGCAGCCAGCTGGCTAAACATCCCACAAGGCTGGAGTTTCTCATGCTCTACCACAAACATTCCAGGGTGGTCTGGCTCATCAATCAATTGACGAAGGGTGGTTCCCGGCATCTCTCTGCTTGGAGGTGTTACAGGAATAATCAGACTTCCCTCTTGGCCCTCTACACAGAAAGAGGTTTTCTCTGCTGTCCTTCTAGTGGTATAACTGAGAGAGTCTCGAGGTCAGCCCCTTCTTACCCAAGAGTAAGAATTTAGAAGCAATGAACTGTCTCAGCAGACTTCAGGAGACTGCCAGTGTCGTAAACAACATCACTGGCCTCTCAAACAGCTCAGCACCTCCACGCGTGACTTCATTTTGCCCCAAGCCACATAATGTCTAAGACATGCTGTCATTGCTTTTCCAGGGCTGCACAAGACATATTTTGTCCTCAGGTGCACTCCCACCATTGTGGCAGTGAGATCTTAGGTGTGACTTAGAAGACAGAGTGATGCCCCATGTTATTTCTTCCCTCAGTAAATCCTTTGGTTATCATTCTCATTTCCATCCTGGTGGAGTGGGGATCCTCATCCCTTATCTTTCTCTCCTGTGTCTTACAAGTATGAATTTTCACTGTAATGCTTAGTCCAGACATACTGAGTCCCTTTTGATACAACTGTATTTCTTTCTTTTCTTGATATCACCAACTGTTGCTAGACTCATGCAATTAACTGAAGTACTATCTACTGCTTTACCTCTGGAATAGTGATTTTACTTCAATAGCATCAAAAGGTGAAGTACTTTGCTCTTATTGAGAATAATTTACTAATGACTCTGTGCATGTGACTGAGGGGATAGGGAAAAGGAGAGTGGCCCATACATTTTTTGGAGGTGCTCTATACATAGGTTTCTTCAGCAGTATGGCTAGTCAGAAGAATGCAAAAAAACTCCAGAAAAAAGGCTTCTTCCTTCCCACAGTACAGTACAGTTGGAGTGGGAAGAGGCCAATGACTAATCCAATGATTAATACCATCTCTTCCAGCTGATAAGGAACCGTCATTACTTCTTCCCTTAGAATGGAACAGCAGTAACGTGGTAGTTTGAACCACATGCTGCTGCTGAAAGCAAATCTAACTTCCTCAATCTCTGTTCCCATTCCCACGGTGTCTGCATGCCATGGTTCACTGTAGACAAAGTGCATTTGACCAGTATTGCTTAGACCTCCTGGATGCAGTGCCGAGATCCAGCCACGTATTTTTGGCATAGAGTGTGTCATTTCTACTTGACTGGAAACCATTATGATACTGGTAGTATGAGTATTTATTACCTGTTCTACAGAAGTGCTTGGATTTTAACTCAAGAAGTGTCTCAGATGTTACGTGTTACTTTGACAGGACATAAAAAAAACATCTTAGGCCAGAGTTTACAGTCAAGATTGTGAGTACAAGAAGCAGGCAGTTAAACAAATAATTGGGTAGGGAAAAGTATCAGATGGAAAAAAGGGTCCGGGAAAGATAATGTAGAAATCTATAATAAAACAAATTTTGAGATCAAAATTGGATTTTACTTATACATTTTTTCTTGGTTCAGAAAATACAGTTTAGAAATCAAATTCATAGACTAGCTA